GTAAATTTCATGTGGGTGTTTATGAATCTCTTCTCAACACTATCGTGTTTTTGCAAATTCAGTTGGTCGGGAGGGGTTCCCCTCAGCGATGTAATTTTCATTAGACGTTAAAGTGCCCCTGAGACGAAAATTGACCATTTTATCTTGTGCTAATTTGTTTACAGAATGTTGAATTGGGTTAAGTTTAAACCTTTTTCGCCATTAAAAACTCAAAAAAAACCTTGTATGACCCATTTTTACCGCTTCAAAGTCGTCCAAAAACCGTCCGCCATTCCAGAAAACATGTTCCAGCCGAGCCCGCAAACATACGTGTACATCACGATGTCAAAGGCTCAGCAAACCTTTGTTTTGCTTTGTCACAACTCTCTTTGTTCGCTGCATAGCGAATCACGTATAGTACTTTTTTAAGAACTGCTTCGTTGTCATTCGTAAAATATCGACTTTTTCTGACGACGAATCTGAGCTTCTGAGGATAGTTTTGCGTCGGCAAACGATTAATACTTGTCATGAGAATAAAGGTAAAGACAGATCGGCACGGACTACCCACGTCGCTTTCGTGTTCGCGTCGCATTTTCGCCTTCAAATTGTACTCTTGCTCTCGCAAGCGTGTCGTAAGACATTTTCCCTTTTGCAAGAGATGATCGGATGATACTTAAAAATTGTTTCCCGGAAGGGCTGCTTGTGTATCAAGGCGAAATGGGAGTTTCTGAAAGTCACTTTAAGTCAAGTCATCAATTTGTTTGCCCCGATGCATTTGATCAATGATCTTATTACCCTTTCTTGTTTGTTTTTTGCTATCTGTGCTTTGAGCGGTTTGAAGTGAACTCTGTTGTTGAGTTGTACTTTGGCCTCTTCTGTTTTCTCTGCACAATCGCTACAGCCTTGAACTATATGGATCGCTACCCCGTCATCTTTGTTAGAAAAGAGTAAAACACTCTGTTATGTTTATTTGACATCTAGCCATGTGAGTTTTTCGCGTTGGGCCTTTGACGTCACTTCCTCTGAGTCCTCTGATCAACTTCCGAACATAGTCGTATAATGGCGGACGCGAAATCTCGAATTTAACTGCCCAAAAAAAGATACTTCTGTTGCTCGGACTAGATTGAAATTTGGCAGGGTAGGTGGGGTAGACAGACTGAACACGAAAATGAAAATAAAATTATTTACGAAAATTTTGACCTCAGGGGCAGTTTAAAGGGAAAGTAAGGTATAGAAACAGTCTACCTCAGTCAGAAGACTTTTTCCACAGGAGTTCGAAAATAACTGCCATTTTGTTCAGTTTGCTTTGTATTAACGTCAAGAGAGCTTTGAAGTGGCCCATTTTTACAACTTTCGTGGTTAGAGAAATACCATCTTGGATCACGTCAGTTATGACGTAGCAAGTCAAACTTTGTTCCGCGCTTCATCCTCATTGACCTGTTTGACCCGTGTGAAAACAATTTCTAATACTCCTAATAATTGAAATGAGGTGAACTGTCTTGCGGTTAAATGTCCAAGTACATATTGAAATTCCAAAGAAAAAGGTGTAAGCCTCCACAATTGAGTATAGAAAAGGTAAGCTATGCTTACCTTTCTATATTCAACACAAATTTCACTTATTTATTCTATCAATTTTTTCAAACCATTTTAGTGTATGGGAATAAATTGAAGCTCGAAATGGTGCTAAACCGTGTGGTAAATTTTCAGTCGCCACCCTTGACCAAAGCCGATTTCCCAAGTGTGTTCTGCAGGCGCCCATATTTCCCTATATCGTATCGATTGGACACGATAAAAATAATATGAGAATATATCATGTCTTCCAACCGACTACTTGACGTAATTATGCTTATGCTTTCATAAGAAATCGAAAGTTTCATTTTAGCTTTATTTATATTTAGGTAATTTCTAATGTAAATACTGATTAACAGAGGCGACTTTCTGGCGCGCTTCGAAAATAACAAAGCTCTACTCCACGAGTCGCTTCATTTTAAAGACTTTACGATGAAAAATATTGCGTTGAACCTTGTTCTAGGCGATAAAGATAAAACCACCATTGCAAATTACAGGTAAATACTGAAACAAACAAAACTTAATTCGTATCAATTAACTTCCGCCTTTTGTCTGCGTTTATTTTGGTAACTAAATGTTTACGTATCAAATTTGTCGGTGTTTACGCATACGAAGAATGATCTTCAAGTCTAACATTTCTAGATTTGCATTTCTAACTGGGGCTAGTCTTAGTTCCAAATGGCTCGTGTTCAGTTATACACCGGAGCTGGGTTTCTGTAACTGCCAAATAATTCGTTTCATTCCGAGGTAGCAATGTGAAATGAATCCTTCTCAGGCACAGTGGTCTTCAGTAAATTACTATCATTCCAGAGCTTGTAGTTGTTTGAGGAAAAACCTTTGCCTTTCAAATTGAATCGGTGTCCTAGTACATTTAATTCTTAGGGGCATACGTTTTCGTTCTCCGTAGGTTTCTCTTGACAGTTGCCGCAAGAGAACCACTCACGATTTCCAAGACGTGAGCGACTGAGCGGGTCGACGTTTCTTCTTGAAACTCATTTTCCTGACTTTCTCCATCTTTCTCAACATAGTTATCTCCTTCCCCAGAAGTCGAGCTATGTTTCGTTTGAAACATAAATGGACGTATTACACCCTCACGGCTAGAATAAAATCCAAGTCGAGCACAGCGAGGTTCGTGCGTCATGAACGAGAGCCAAATATTTTCCCGTTTAGCCCGACCGAACTCAGTCAATAAGCATTTATCATAAGTTGAAAGATTCGAACTTTTTTCTACTTAAATAGAACGCATAAGACCGGCCTGCGCGGGAAAACTACCAAAAAAAAAAAAAAGGAAAGATTCTACGATAAAAAGTTTTCCTTTTTTTTCTAGTCAGAATAAGAAACTCGCAATTTATCGAAAAACACGACTCATTTTTGTTCACTGCTGTTTCTCGTTTCTCGTTTTTTGCGACTGAAACGGGGAACAATTTCGCCGTACAAGTGCACCAGGCCCGTCCGACCTTAGACACGTCAGTTTTCACCATGGTTTTCTACAGGATTGCGCGAGCAGGGCCGGACGGGTCATATGATAATATAGCTTCTTTATGTTGGAAATGTTGATCATCATACTTATCTGCTATATTGTTATAATTAACAAATAGAGAAGCCTTTATTGTGCTCTGTTCTGTTGTAAAGCACGCACGCAGCGGCTAGAGCACGAAAGAGGTGTAGGGAGAAACACGAGACGTAGGTTTCACCACTTCACACAATCTATGCAGTAATTTGAAGAAATATGTCAGGGGTTTTACGCCTTGCTGCAAACAAGAATGAGCGTGTAGTTTCATAATTATGAGTTTTTGCTCCACTTTAGATCACGAAAGTTATTCCAGAATGTCATAAACATGAAGTTGGCAAAATCGAATTCAGGTAAGTTTGTTTTATTCTTTTTTTTTTTTGGTGAAAAGTGTTAGCCTTACCGTGTTTTGCATTTTTATGGACCACAAAATATGAAAGATATATATGATTATCAGACCCCTGATAACAATTACTGATTGGCTGATTTGAGGTACTTGTTTAAGGTAATCATTTTAGAGAAAATGGAGGAAGAAATTTCTGGATCGGGAATGGTTTTTAAATATCTGTTAACTTAGTTAAAACTCTCTCTTATCCTATTTCAAGAGCAGATGATTGCCACACCATAACCTTGTGTATTCTACGATGTTATGATTATGGTTTCAATAGTTAATAAGAGGTGCTGACCCAAGAACTTTGCATAAATTAATTAAGTTGGAGTTATTTACTCCTAAAAGTAGGTAAACCAGTGTTCCCTAAAGGAAGTAACAGAAATTTTCGTAGTGGTTTTTGGTGGAGGTAGAGGGAAACATCCACCAAAACCACATTTATGTGGTTGATTTTATTATGAACTTTGAAAAGAAATTGTGCTCAATAACAAATTATCGGCGACAGTACAAGGTGCTTTGGGAACTATAAGTCTCCTACCAGGTGGGGGAACCTAGTAGAGGACTAGTTGTCCTATTGTTCTCCCACCTCAGTGTACAACGCACAAATCTACAAATACAATACTATACCTCCTCGAGGATGTAACTATAGATATAGATAAATAAATGAAAAAAAAATACTGTTGATAGTTTTGATCAATGTTTCGGTGGTTTTGGAGGATGTCCACTCCTTACATTCACCAAAACTACCTAACACCTTGACCCCTATTAGATATCTGAGATATCTGCATAAAATTGCGTAAAATACATTAGAATACAACCATCGAACTATAAATTGATATTCACTAGTTCTTGGATAATATGTTTTTACGCAAATTCTCAAAGAAGTAATACACTCAAGTCATCGGGATAAATCGGCATATTTTCGTAGCTTTATAATTTTCTTTTAGTATAACATGTCGTGAGGTGTCCATCATTCCATCTCTGTCGCTCTCGGCCAAGGTGGTTTTGGTGGATGGAATCTAATGCTGAACATTTAGAACATCATTTTAGGTATACTTAATGGAGTTGGATAAAATTGCTCCTCACTGGGAATGTTTGACCGTACTTCACATTTCACTGGACATGAAAAGACTTGCGGTAGTGTTAAGTATTTTCCGGGAGATTCAACCGGAATACCACTCTGGCGGTGTGCATCTTGAATCTTTGTATGGCGTTAAACCACAGGTAGCCCAAGCTCTCTTTGAGAACCACCCAAGGAACACAATTCGCATATCTATTCATAAGGATTTGTATGAGATTTTCTACAAGATAGCCATAGAGATAGTTAAAAGTGAAAATGTTAAATAAAAATGGCTTACCTTATTCCATACGTGTGTTGCTTGCTCCTGGTGTCGTTATTTTACCGATTTCACTTGATTTAATCGGTTTGTTTTTTAATCCTGGTTTTCTCTTCTTAAAGAGAAGACAAGGCCGAACACTTCTGTCCAGACAGCCTCCCGAACGAAGTAAAAAATCCCGTGCGATCGACGCCAGGTGGCTCTTCGTGTCCTCAGTGAAACGTTAAAACGTTTGTAGACATCCGAGTCCTTTTTAAACACGACACAACGACCGTTGAAATTGGCTTGGTAACCTCGTCATGTTGGCAAACCAAGACTCGCGGGGGTACTAAACCTGAGAGGACCCCGGGTTTAACAAGAAGTTTTGTTGACACGTTGAGGTCTAGTACCCCCGCGAGAAGTGTTCGGCCTTGTCTTCTCTTTAAGAAGAGAAAACCAGGATTAAACATACCGATTAAATCAAGTGAAATCGGTAAAATAACGACACTAGGAGCAAGCAACACATGCATGGAATAAGGTAAGCCATTTTTATTTAATATTTTACACTTTTAACTATCTCTATGGCTATCTTGTAGAAAATCCCATACAAATCCTTATAAATCGATATGCAAATTGTGTTCCTTGTGTGGTTCTCAAAGAGAGCTTGGGCCGCCTGTAGTTAAACATAAAAATTAATTTTCAACCTTCAGGTTTATTTTCATCACTCAAGTTTTCCTTTTAAACCATATGCAAAAATTCAGGTGTTATTTTCAACATTAAGTTTTGTCAACCTTCAAGTTTACGGTTAAACCGCGTTTTGTGTACAATACGAATTAGAAAGGAGCTTCGAGGACAAAACCCTTTTCTGCTTTCAAATTCATACTTTATTGCAATCAGTCCACATTCAAACATGAGGCGTAAAAGAAAGATTTATCACAGAAGCGTCTAAAACCGCGTTACGTCTCCAAAGAGCAGATTTTTTACGCTTCACTTTTAGTAAACATAGGCGTGCTACGCATGCAGGAGATATTTTTGGGATTTGTGGATTGGAATGGGACACCTAGTAACTAATGCTGGTGCCCTGTGCGAAATACGTGATAAAATGCAGGTTGTTAACAGGAAATTGACATGCAATAGGGTAAAGTCCCAGCGAGCTAAAAGCGAATTTTATTGATAAGAAACGTATAAGCACGTGAGGGTTGCGTGGAAAATTAACCGACTTTACCATTATGTTCCTTGTGAATTATTTTTCAGTGAGGTAGAATTATTTGATGATAAATATTAGAAGAATAAAACTACGACGTTTCGAAGTCATCTTGACTCCACTATCAAGTAGGGGTGTTAGTTGTAGTTTCGAGATCAAATACAAACAAAGGTAATAGAGTACATTAGAGTAATAATTGTTTCGTTGTCATTGGTGTTTGACGTGTCAGTGCGTGTGGTATATGTTTAAATAAATACTTTTGCACGTATACCGCAAGCACTGACACGTCAAACACCAACGACAACGAAACACTTATTATTCCAATGTACTCTATCACCTTTGTCTGTATTTAATCTCGAAACTACAACTAACTCCCCAACTTGACAATGGAGTCAAGATCGGACTTCGAAACGTCGTAGTTCTACTCTTCTAATATTTATTTTCAAATGTATTTCGAAATGTTCTCCTATTAGGTAGAATTATGTCATAAAATTTACGTTGTTTACTGGAAAATGGCATTTCATCGGAGAAAGTCTAGTCCATACTGGCAAGTAATAAGTAAACTGGCAACTGTAGCGGGAAAGTATCGTTTAAACAATATCTAATTTATCGAGAACTTTTAGAAGCAAAAAAAACGATATTTTACATGTCAGTCAACTCAAGTAAATACAACTTGGTGGTCTTTCAACCTTTGCAATAAGGGCAGCCATAAGGCAAAAAACAAGATTATCAATCAAATATGGTTTATTCAAATGCCTTACGCAATTTTTACCAGATTCAGCAAAACTAGCCCTTCCAAAATAACACGCTCTGGTGCTAAATTCTTGATTGGCCTGTAGCTGACGATGTGTGCGTTATAAGTGAAGGAGCGGTGCAAAAAACATGCACGTTTTAATCTGCAATTGGTAGAAAAACTTCCCTGACGACCTTTCTAATCCAGACAAATCATAGCGATAAAGTCCTCACGAAGGACAGCCATTACATTGGGTAGATGAGCTCACAATTATTGTAGATGTCATTCTTACCTCGTTCTTTAATCGAAATTCCAAATGGAATTCAAATATAGCAATGAAATATCCCCTAGTCGAGAAAACGAAATAAAGTAAGCAGGGGACTGCGTCAACACTAGGTAAACTTCGCCTTTCCTCTAATTATTCTTCTACTTCAAAAACGCGGAATTACGGGAGCACTAATTTAACGGCCCTCTCGTTATATCATTCTTCGACTTCGTGAGCGAGGGGCTGCGGATGCACTAGTTTAACGGCCATATCATTTCATCATTGTTCGACTTCACGAAACCTTGAATGCGGGGCCTCTGGTTTAAGGTTACTTTCCACCTGCGCGGGTGTCCTTCGAGAAAAAACTCGTACGTGCGCTAATTTCAAGAAAACTCTAACAAACTATGCATCAAAAGAAAGCTTAATAAATGCAGTTTACGATAAAAATATAATTTAGGCGATTTTTTGATTTAGGGAATATCAGGAGCCGGTAAGGCGTGAAACGACCGAGGGTCTCTCTATTAAATTTCTCGGGTATCGGATCCCGCATCACGAGCAAAATGACTGCACAGACTTATTCACAGGGCATCAACAACAAAAGTGTTTCAAGATTTTCCGATATTCTGATTGGTTGTTTGAAAAACATTTCAAGTATCAAAATTTCCTGACATAGTTTCGTTCGTCATTATCCCTGGATTGTGTTTTGGTGAAATTTCACGAAAATCGGTCAAATGTTCATGCCCAAAAAATTCGCTTTGAGTGGGTTATTCCTCTCAAAATCAAATGCGAGATTTTAGCTCCTAAAGGTTTGTAAACAATTAGCGCCACACCAGGAAATTATCTCGCCTCCTGAAACCGCAAACCAATGGAAGACGGGACCTCCTGGCGTCGATGACAAAAGTATCGCATAGCACTCACGTTTTTTTTATCTCGCTCTGTTGAGCGTTGAATAATGGGCAAATTTGGCAAAGTAAAAACCCGCGGCAAAAAAGGTAAAGCTGGAGAAACTGCTGGAAAGCAGAACAGCGAATCGACAGACAGCTTAAATAATACCCTTATCGCTGAAATGAGTTCCCACGGGTAGGTTTATTCATGATTTCATACGATTCGAGGCGATTACCTATGTTTTGTATGAGGGCCGGCCCTTGCTTAGCGAGAGGAACTTCGTTTTTAACCTTGCGCGCGACATAGGTAGATTTAATGGCGACTTCTTTGTTCGTAATTTTGATGCCACCGTGGAGAGGAGTACTAGAACTGTTTTTTTTTTTCCTGACATAATTATGCCTTTTCTTTCTTCTTTGAGCTTTTTTTTTTTTTTTTTTTTTTTTTTCCTTCTCTCTCTTTTTCTTTTTCTTCGCCCAGGGCCTCTCTAATTTTGATTTCTGTTTTTCATTTATGAGAAAAGACTTTCCACTAGCAGAGAACTTTCACGTGTGAATTTTGTCAAATGCGCGATGTAGACAAAACATGCAAATAACATGAAATTGCCGCGAATATTCTCCCAGAGGGTTCGCCCATTTACGAGATTATGACACCCTCCTGATTTATTATGTTTTATTTAAAAATACGTTTTCCTAAATAAGTCGGACGCTTTTTGAGATTTTAAAATTTTTCTCTTTGTAAATGTTAGGTAAAATGACTAACCTTAATCTTGTCCAATAAAAGAAAAAACTATTTTTTTGGCCTTTGAAGGTGGGAAGTAAAGTTAAATGTCCTCTCTTTAAAAATTATTTTTCGACATCGGGACCGCGGGAGCAATCCATTCATAGCGGTCAATAGGGGCCGGGCATTGTAAAGTTGCTCCCATCAACGTCTCAAGCAACATTTGATTCAAAATGTTTCTCATGTTCCAGTCAGTCTCATTTAGAACGAAGAATAACCATAGTCGTTCAACGATCACAACTCCACCGCTTTCCCAACACAACTAATACGTTTCCTTAGTTCGCGATCCGCTCTCCCTGAGTCACGCGTTCATTCGCTGAAATTTGAAGACCTGTCAAACCACAAATTAGCAAGAACGTTCTGATTGGTGCGACATCGACAAATACTACAATCTGATTGGTTTTTGATACACCAAAAATTGCGCCAATCACGACGCTTTAAGGTACACCAAAAAAAACCCAAAAAAATGGGCCAATCAGACTGCTCAGAGATACGTCAAATGGTGCAGATCAGATTACACTTCACCAAAACACACCATTCTATACGCTAACATAGAGTTTTTTTTTATAACTAAAAAACGTTCCGTTTCAAAATACGGTTAAAGTGCACCTACACCCAAAAAATTTTTTTCGCTTAACGAAGTAAGCTTATTTTTTTGAGTATTTCTGCGCAAAAATTTTTTTATTTGCTCAAATCTTCAATTTTCTATGCCCAGTCAAAATACGGAAAATCGGCCGCCATCTTGCCCCACGACCGAGTTTAAAGAGGAATGGCTCTAGTGGGTAATGTGACGTCAAATCGAGAACACGAAAGTCTGCATTTCACACATTTTCACTTGTTTGGGAAGGTTGTAGTCGATAATTGTCCGAAAATATGCCGACTAAGTGTGTTGTAGAAGGATGTAGCAACGTGCGAAATTTGCAAGAGGGTATCGCGCTTCATACATTCTTCATACAACACACCTAGTCGGCATATTTCGGACAATATCGACGACAATCTTCCCAAACAAGTGAAAATGTGTGAGATGCAGACTTTCGTGTTCTCGATTTGACGTCACATTACCCGCTAGAGCCATTCTTCTTTAAACTCGGTCGTGGGGCAAGATGGCGGCCGATTTTCCGTATTTTGACTGGGCATAGAAAATTAAAGATTTGAGCAAATTAAAAAATTTTTGCACAGAAATACTCCAAAAAATAAGCTTATTTCGTGAAGCGAAAAAAAAATTTTGGGTTTAGGTGCACTTTAAAGAATAGGGGATATCCAGATGAGTTAAATATATCTTAAGTTCTTTTCTCCCGGCGAGAAAGATCACTGAAAAACAAAGAAATAGCATACAGAAGAAAATAATGCCTTTTGTAATAATGTGTTATCCGGCTTTATCTAACCCCAAAAAAGATGCTGATGGGCAGTGCAAGTGGCACTTTATTCAAAACTGCACCACACATACAATTTATGTCAAGGAAAGTGATTTTAATGTTAAATCATTTATCCTAGTCAGACCTAAACTTTGAATGTTACTGTCAACAAACTCTTGCAAAAATTTTTAAAATTTCGGGGTTTTTTGCTCTTTAGTTGGAGAGCAGTAAAATGTCTAAAACACGAAATTTTTTACCGCGTTTTCTAGTTGATAGCTGTATTTAAAATTTGAAATCATCGATCTTAGCGCTCAGAGAGTTCTCCAATTGACCAATTCTTTGCGAATTGAAAGTAAGATTTGGTAGCCAAATAGTGTCCCCATCTATCGCGCGTCAAAACTAGGATGTTACATAGTTGTGACGTAAGAACAGTGAAGACAGATCGGCAATTGTGGTCGGCTTCAAAGACGGCTGTTACGAACACATAGTTGTTTCAAAAGAATCGAAGTTTAATTTTTGCTTTTCCCTAGTCTACATTGCCCACTTTTCCATCTGTTCATATCCCGATAAATTTTTGGATTCCGTTAATCCATTAAGTGTAAATTTATTTTTCCCGTTTCGCGAAATTACCTTTCCCGCAAATTTCAAAGGAGTTCTTTGCCACCGGACTTGCTCATGTGTTCGATGTTGGATCTCATAGGTCGGCGACATGACACGCGCATGAGGTACGAAAGGTTCTGAGGATCGAGATTTGTTTTTACGCGTGTTACCTCTTCGTAAACAGATTGAAAGAGTATCTAGACTTGTTGGATTTCATGAAAAGTGGCCAGAATGTTCGTTAGCTATCAGCACAACTAGGTGTGTGAAGCTCTTACGAATTTTGGAGAATTTTTCTCGTGACATCTTGGAGCGAGGCAAGAACCGAAATACTTCCCATTGTCAAACTTCATAATAGATTTTTTCAGAAACCAATAAGAGTCTCAAAAGAAGCTTCGCGCACTTTGTTATCTTGTCCAGTGGTGTTAAAGGCTCGCGCGTGGCTATCAATACAAAAATTGCGAAAACTTTTTTTATTTACTAATAATCTATACTTTATGGGCTTACCACTGATACATGTGGTCACTTTGAAAGAAGCGAGCGCAGGACCATTTTACAGGAAGGCACCCTATTTTGTTGACAGTAACCTGAGAATCGCTTCATATTTAAAATCGATTGTTGAGATAACATTTGTATGTTGATAAAAGAACTTGAACTTTGGCAGGAATGTAACGCCATATCTTTCAACCTCAGCCTTTAAGCCTGCCTTGACGAATTTCCTGAAATGTGTTAACAATTTACTTACGGTATCTTTCTGAACTAATATTTTTATTTTGTCTTTTAAATGCAAGAGTGGGTTCTTTATGTCCTGCACTTGCGTGATTCTCATTACCCCTTTCTGGCTTCTCCTCCACAGGCCAGGAAGTATAATCATATATATTCATCTCTCATTCGAAAAACCCATGGGGCAAGAGGCATTAACATCTATGCTTCAGGAAGCTGCCAGACAGGGGCGCCTAGGCGATAATATTGATCCTGATTCAATTACAGATGTATCAGACATCCCAGGTAAGCCAAGAGTATGTGTAAGGTGACCGGCTCCCTTGAGGAGGGTCAAGGAACGTCACAGATTCGACGGAATTGTTTGTCTTCGTTTTGATACGTTTTTGCATGTTGGCCTGTTTTAGCGTAGAAGGTAGTTTCCTACAGGGTTACAAGTCTCTATGCGCGTCACACGTCATTCTGTTAAGTTTTCAATACAGCTAGAAAAGGATCGTCGGGAATTAAGCGGTCTCTTTGGGAAGTGGCTAAGTAACTACGCAATACAGATTCCACAGAATAGGAATATATTGCAATGAAAAACGCCATTTCACTCCATAACTGATCACTTCTGTGCGGATTCTTCGAAAACTCGCTCAAGAATACACTGACTTTTCGAGAGTAAAGCATAACAACAAAATGGTAGTGCAGAATTATGTCTTCATTATACTATTATGGTCAGACTTCTCACTAGTTAACCAGCAAAAGAGTTGCGTAAGGATCATTCAGAGCCTTACATGGATGGTTCTCTTTTAAGTTACCGTTCAATACGGGTAAGATAATGGGAACACAGCCGTTGGGAATCCGTTAAGGGTTATCTTAGGCCCTTAAGAGCGTGTCCACGAGAAAACCGGGCAGGGGCCAATAAACCTCAACTCACCGATTGGCTTAAACTTGGCACAAATGCTAAGTATCATGAGTTAATAAATATGTGAAAATAATAGATCAACATATTTAATTCCCTGGGAGATATAGGGTCCCCCCTGGGAAGCCTCCATTTTATGCATTTTTTGCATAATTAGCTACCTAGCTTTGCATTGCTGTTGTGTCAAACCGAAAACCCATCCGCAAATTTAATCAACTGGCTTGCGTTCTATATCTATCAGACCTAAAGGAAATTTAATTGTGTTACCTTTTTCATTTCATTTCTTCCCTTACCTCTCCCTTAACTAAAGACGGCTTTTTCTGATTTTGACAAAGTCCAAAAATAAAGGTATTTTAAGGCCCAATATCTCCGATGACAAATTACTTCTGATCATTATTCCTCCGTGTGCAGTGAAAGCCATGACTGGACGTCGAAGATCAGTAATAAAATTTTGGTGCAACTGATTTCATAACCTTTGCTGACGTGTAATTTGCATCTACCTCCCGCTTTTTAGTCTGTATCATCAAAGTTTCGTAAACCACATCTTTGTCTTATTAACTTAAAATAACTTGAAATTTACAGAAATTTCCCAGAGTATCGTTTAAACATGAACGAGCAGAGAATCTTTGAATAGCGCAAGTTGAGCCCTCTTTAAGAACTTTTTTCGGAGCCATATTTCAATTATTCTCGAGGAAACGCGGCAGTTGATGATGAACATCAAGGGCGCATGTTGTCGAACTTGGTGGTAAAAAGATGAGTTGATGTCCTGAAAGCTGATGTAAATCAAAAGGATAATTCGCCATCTTTGATCAGGTCTCGCCTGCAATATTTTTCAGCGGTCAACTTTGACATTCCTTCGGCATGTTTTTTTAGTCTACAAAGTTTAAAATGTATCAAAGATTTACGGCTATCAAAATATTTGACTCGTTAATTGTTAAGCTTGAGATAGTTACTGGTTCACCGAAAAACGAATACTGAAACCGGTGATATATTGGTCTCCTCTCAGTACAAGGAGAATGAAAATAGTTAAAAAAAACTGACACGTTCACAGAAATCACTTACATATTTTATCTGAGGTTTTCTACTTTAATTTGATATGTAATCTCTTACAGCTGTCTACTGTAATATCTGGCTTTTTGTGGAAATATACTGTAGAAATTGCTCCATTGCAAAAGTGCAGATTATAAATGAAAGGTGGGGCGAGGAAGGGGAGGGGGTCAACAATCAATTTCGTAGTAAGCATCAGACAGAGGTGCAATAGCCGCACTTAAAGGTTACAAATGATAACCGACAATCTGAAAATGTTAAAATGTCCACTCATACCCATACATCTTTATTTAACGAGGGTAACATATTAACTTTACACAAGTTTTCTAACATATTGCCCTCACCTTCCAACCCATTCCACCCCGGGGGGGGGGGGGAGACATCCATCACACAGTAATCTCGTGTGTGGGAAATTAACTTCTCCTACCTCAACTCTGCAGGAGGCAACCCTGCACAGTTGGCAAAGCAATTGATAGGAGAATATCGAAAACAGCCTGACATAATCATGTCGATTGATGCCATGTGAATAAGACTGCGTAGACATTTTGCTGTGCTGCGGCATCCGATACCTGATAAATTCAATAGAAGAACTCTCGATTGATTCACGCTTTACCAACTTCTCACATTTCTTTAAAGAAAACTCACTTAAATATTTTTATCGTAGTTTGCGTTTATTAAGCTCTCTTCTGATGTATAGTTTGCTAGTATTTAATGAAAGTAGCGCGCGTACGAATTTTTTCCGAGGACACCCGCGGATGTGGAAAGTAACCTTAAGTCTTGGATAGGATATCTCTTCGACCACAGAAAGTCGGTGGTGGTGTGACTAGCATTCTGGCATTAAAGTCTAATAGATATCTTCTTTTAAACTGATCCTATTAACTCTCAGGGCATCAAATCGTCTTTTTGCCACCAACACATATCATGTAAGTCAATAAGTATCACGCCGTAAAGACCAATCATTTTGATCGATCTTTCCGAGGGCTCTCGCCGCGTTTAATATTTCAACAAGGAAACGGAAGCAAATCGAACCTAGTACATTGTTGACATAATGGCTCCTTATCAGATAATATCTAACAAATGATATCAAGCCAAAAGTTGCAACTGAGGTACCACAGAGACATGTATGCACTATCAAGTTTCTTCCTAGATTTCTTTTGTTAGAAAGTTCGATTACATGCACCCTCGATGTTCATCATCAACTGCTGCGTTTCCTCGAAAATAGTCCAAATATGGCTGCGAAAAAAGTTCTCCAAATAGGCTCATCTCACCATATTCAAAGATTCTCTCCTCGTTCATGTTTAAACGATACTCTCTGGGAAATTTCTTGTAAATTTCAAGTTATTTTAAGTTAATAAAACAAAGATGTAGTTTACGGAATTTCGATGATACAGACTGAGCGGGAGGTAGATACAAATTTCGCGTCAGCACGGGTTATGAAATCAGTTGCTTCAAAATTTTATTACTGATTTTGGAAGTCCAGTGGTGGCTTTCACTGCTCATGTAGGAATAATGATCAGGAATAGTTGGTCATTGGAGATATTGGGCCTCAAAATACCTAATTTTTGGACTTTGTCAAAACCAGGAAAAGCCGTCTTTGCTTTAGCGAGAGGTAAGGGAAGAAATGAAATGAAAAAGTTAACACAATTCATTTTTTTATGAGGTCTGATGGATGTAGAACACAACCCAGTTGATTGAATTTGCAAATGGCTTTTCGATCTGTCACAGCAGCAATACAAACTTAGATAATTGAT